ACTTTCAATATAATATTTTAATTTATTTAATTAAAGTTGACATGGACCCCACAATTATCTTGCAATTCCCACTCAAACTTTACATTCTCTCTCCTTTTGGTTTCATTTTTTAGCCTTAACTAATAATTTGGGCCCCACGATCCACATGTCAAAAAATGGGTGGAGCCTCTTCCAACTTTGGTTGGTTGGGCCTCACCCATAGTAAAATTTTTCGTGAGTGCTATTCTAAAATATTGGTATATGTGAAACTACCTCTACTTCTGGATTTAAGGGACTATAGTGAAGTTGGAAGGATCTTTCTGTAGTAAAATCTATATAATTTTCTTGCACCACATTAAAATAAGACATCAAAACTATCAAGCATATTTAGTGATAATAATTTTTGCATTATGTATTCATAAGTTATGGTATAATTTTGAGTTTCATTATTGAATTAACTTATACATCACAAAATTTACCTTTCATATAATAAAAGTCGATCATGTGTGTTCTACAACAATTTAAGAAATACTGTAATTAAATTTAAAAATTAACAAGTCAAATTGCTTAGTAATTTTTTTTTATTTCACTTCAAAATATACAATTATCTCCATAATTAATTGAAGGACCGAAAAGAATAAAAAGGACAGATAATGAAGAGGAAGAGAAAGATGATAGTGAGTATAATCTCTATCATTTCAGTTTAACTTTAAAATATTATATCTTTAGAATAAAATATATAAGAAAAATACCTCAAATTCTGAATATAGAGGAACATTATGCAGATGGAGTGGTCTATCCTCTGCCGCAATACATGTGTAATTCTCTTGCTGTATAATAAAATTGAACATTAGAAGTTGTAAGCATATTTACAAAATTACATTTTCAAGATATGTATTCACGGTTATGATATAGTTTAATTCTCGTTTTGAATTGTCTTTATTTCATACATGTTTAATCATTCCATTATCAAAAGTTGATTAATTTTATTTTATAAAAACATAAGAAATAACTTATTGAAATTTAGCCTGCCAAATTAAATCCTTTCACTTAAAAATATACAATCATCTTCACTCATTAACTAGAGGGAGGGAAAAAGTTTTAAAAGAATATATAAAACCATGAAGAGAAAAATGATAATATATACAAGCTTGATTAATTTGTTCAACTATAAGAAATGCTTCTTCAAAACATAATGTCCTATAATCAAACAAGCAAATGTATATGAAAAACTACCTCCAGCTCTTTATGAAAAATACTATGGAGGAATGAAGAGTCTTCTGCAGTAAAACATCCATAATCTCCTTGCTGCATAGTTAAATAAGACATCAGAAGTTGTAAGAATTTATACCGAAAGTGATATAGTTTTATATTCCATTATTTTATACAATAATAATTTAATATTTTATATATAAAAAAAATTGAAACTTATGTTCTACAAAAATTAACATGCCAAACTATTTGAGAAATCTTTTCATCTCAAAATATAAAATCATCTCTACAAATTAATCGGGAAAGAAACTTGGGTAAAAGAATCGTAGAATGCAGAGAAAAATGATACTGTGGATAAATACATTTAATTTTCTTTAACTCTATAAATTATATATTTAAGATAGAATGATCGTTGACTAAACATAGATATAACAAAAAAAAACTACCTCAAATTTTGAACTGGGGAAAATGTTTTGGTGTCGAAACGATGTAGCTTGAATTATTTGTGAATTCATTTACCTCAAAATGTACTATTATCTTCACAATTAACTAGTGGAGGAAAAGTGGGTGGAACGAACAGTAGATAATGAAGATAAATATAATTGTGTGTACAATTTTTGTTTATACTCTCAATTCTATAAGTATATTTTTAGATATAGTATTTTATGACCAAATATAAGTATACAATAAAATTACCTGAGGTTCCGAACTCGAGAGAATATTACAAAAACTGAATGATTTTTCATCTGAAGTAATATCATTGTAATTGTTTTGCTACATAGTAAAATAAACACCAAAAGTTGTAAGTATATTTCATGAAAATTATTTTCACTCTATTTTTTCACAAGTTAGGATTTAATTTTGATATTCAATTTCGAATAATCTTATTCAACACATATATAACCACTCATTTAACAAAAGGAGTTCATTTTTACACTACAAAAAGGTAAGAAAAAAGTAAATTAAAAATTAATCAATCATACTATTTAAAAACTTTGTCACCTCAAAATACACGATCATCTCAACTAATTAACTAGAGGAGTGAAAGTGGATAAATAGAACAACAAGTAAAGAGTAAAATAATAGTGTATACAAAGATTCTTAATTCTAGAACTTCATCATAAATGTATTTTCAGAATATAATATGCTATTATCAAACATTGGCATAAGTGAAACTACCTCAACTTCTGAATTTGAGGAATTATATATAGTTAAGTTGGAAGGACCCCTCCTCTGTAGTAATATCTATATAATTTTCTTGCTACACATTGAACTAAGGCATCATAAATTATAAGCATATTTACTAATTATAATTTTTGCTCTATGTGTTCATAAGTTATGGTGTAGTTTTGAATTTTATTATCGAATTATCTTATACATCACAAAATTTACCTTTTATACAATAAAAGTCGATCATATGTGTTCTACTAAAATTTAATAAATAATTGAATTAACAATAACTAATTAAATTTTGTAGAAACCTTTTCATCTCAAAACATAATAGTGTGTAAAACAGCTTTGTTTATTCTCTCAACTCTATAAGTATATTTTTAGAGTGTATTATTCTATGATAAAAAATAGTCAGATTAAAAAATGTTTGAGGTTTTATATTCGATACAAAAATTGAAGGAATTTTCATCTTCAGTAATATCACAATAAGTTTTTTGGTACATAGAAAAATAAGTCACCAGAGATTACAAATATTGTTAATTCATTTAGTTTTATAATTGTATTTTCAAAATTAAATGTTCTATTTTCAAATATAAATATACAAGAAATTATCTCGATGTTTCGAATTTGGGAAATCATAATAGAGTTGAAATGATACTTTCTCTAAAGTAACTTGGAACAATTCTTCCTTTGTAGTAACACCTCCATAATTTCTTAGCTATGCATTGAAATAAGACAATAAAAGTTATAAACATATTTACTGATAATTATTTACACTATGTATTTATAAGTTATGCTCTAATTTTTGAGTCATTATTAAATTATTTTATACAACACAAATTTAAATTTTTATATAAAAAAACTCAATCATTTGTGTTCTACAAAAATATAAGAAATGATTAAATTTAAAATTAACCAGGCAAATTACTTGAAAATCCTTCACCCCGACCAAAATATGTACAATCATCTCATTAAATAACTATGGGAGAAGAAGCGGGTAAAGTGGAAAGATAATGAAGAGAAAAATGAAAGTATGTATAAACTTTATTATTTTGGTTAACTCTAAAATTATATTTTTATAATAAAATATTCTATTAAAAACAAAGGTATATGAAAAATTACCTCAGGTTCCAAATTCGGAAGAACATTACGGAGATCGAATGGTCGTTTCTCTGATGTAATACCTTCATAATTTTCTTGCTACATATAAATATAAGACACCAAAAATTGTAAGTAAATTTAGTGATAGTTATTTTAACACTTTATTCGCAACTTATGATATAATTTTAATCGTCAATGTTGAATTATCTTATTAACGATATATTTATTCTTTCATTAAACAAAATCCAATTATTTATGTTCTAAAATATATAAGAAACAAGTAATTAAAAGTTATCCAATCATATATTTACAATCCTTTCACCTCAAACTATATTATCATCACCATTAATTAACTAGGCAAGGAAACGAAGGTAATACGAATAATAGTGAAGAGAAAAATGATATTGTGTACAAACTTTCTTAATATGCTTAACTCATTAAATCACATTTTTAGAATATACTTCTATATGAAAAAATGTAGGTATAGAAAATATTACTCCAAGTTTTGAATGTAGTAGTATCATAATGGAGCAGGAACTATATTTCCTCTTTAGTAACACCTTCAAATATTTCCTATTACATAGTGAAATAAGACAATGAACTGTTAAACAAATTTACGAATAATTATTTTCACTATGTAATCATATGTTATGATATAACTTTTAGCTTCTTTAATGGATAATCTTATACAAGTGTGGCCTTTCATATAACTAAAGTCAGTAGTTTGTGTAGTAAAAAAATATAAGAAACAAATCAATTGAAAATTAACTAGCCAAATTATTTGAGAATACGTCCACCTTAAAATATATAACCATCTATACAAATTAATAGCTAGGAGAACGGAAGGAGGTAAAAATATAGAAGTGAAGAGAAAAATGATAGTTTGTATAAATTTTCTTATTTTTCTTAAATCTGTAATTATATTTTTTTAGAATAAAATATTCTATGACCAAATATAGGCATATGAAAAATCACCACAGATTTCATATTCAAAGAAATATTATGGAGACACGACGATTTTTACTTGTAGTAATAGCGCCATAATTTGTTTGTACCCAATAAAATAAGACATCAAAAATTTTAAGAACATTTACAAAATATTTTTACAATATGTATTCGCATGCTATGTTATAGTTTGATTTTGATTGTTGAGATTATCATTATTCCATACATTTTTAACCTTTTCTATAATAAAAGTTGATTATTTTATTCTACAAAAATGTAAGAAATGACTTTGTTGAAAATTAACAAGATAAATCGAACCATTTCACCTTAAAGTATACAATCATCTAATTCATTCATTAACTCGGGGGAGGAAAATGTTTTAAAAGAATATGAAGTGAAGAGAAAAATTATAATATATATGAACCTGCTTAACATTCAATTCTAAAAATTGCACTTTCAAAACATAATGCTTTATGATCAAACAAACACATGTATATGAGAAACCTCAAATTCTTGATTCAGAAAAATATTTTGGAGAAATGAACATTCCTCTTTAATAAAACTTCCATAATCTCCTTGTTGCACAGTAAAATAAGACATCAAAAGTTGTAAGCATTTTTATTGACAATTATTTTAAATAATTTCTTGTAGGTTATGGTATAACTTGTATTTTCATTATTGGAATATTTCAGTGCAAATTTAACTTTGCATGCATATAACGAAAATCGATCATTTATGTTATGAAAAAATGTAAGAAATTACAAAATTAAAATTAATAATTCAAATTTTTAAGAACCCTTTGACCTCAAAGTATACCACCATCTCCACTCCTTGATCGGAGGAAGGGAAAGTGGAAAAAATAACAGAACGTAAAGCAAAACAAAATGATTGTATGTTTGAATTGCTTAATTCGCTTAAAAATTTTAAACTACATTTTCAAAACATGATGTTTAATGATAAAACACAAGTATATAGTAAAGTCTTGATGGTAAAATTAAGATGACATACTTTAAATTTTTCTAAAGTAGTGTAGGTCTAATCCATGAAAAAAGACTTGTAGGTCTAGTCCATAAATTAAGCTAAGAATTATTTTCATCTCATTCTTGTTTTGCTTCAATGTGTTAAGTTTGTGGAGTAAATTGTACACTAAAAATCATCAAATTAATACTTTAGAAAGATTGCAAACTTCTTGAACTTAAAGAATATCAGAAAATAAATACGAACAAATCTAAAAAATTTAAAAACGTACCATATTAGAAGATTGAACATTCAGTTGGCTTCCAGTAATAATTGGAGTAAGTTCGGTTGAATGTGGTATAGAATAAACATTGTCCAACATAGCAAAGCCAACTACTGTAGTACTAGTTCCTCCATTTATAGTACTTTCATAACTCTCTTGTAAAGTGGATAACTCTACTGAAGCCTCTCCAAATCCAATATGATGAGACTTTTGATTTACATGACAGCACAATATTCTTGCCAATTCTTTCTCCCTTTGACTAAACTGGGAGACTTGATGATCAACCTCTATAGCATGATCAACAAAATTCGAATTTTCTATCATAAGTTGTTGAACTCTAGTTGAAATATTGTCAGTTGCTTTCCTTGTGGATAATTCGTTAGCATTACTAAATGTGATTTTACTCACATCTGAAACCAACTCTGAACTATTGTTCTTTTCCAAGCCCATACGATATTTCTACAAAGTTTGTAAGCACGAGAATGATTACTTTGTTCTAACAATAAAATAAAAAATTATAATTTTTTTTCTTTTTGTAAATTTCTATACAATGTTTATCTAACTTTGAAAATTTATTTTATCATGGAATTTCTAACATGAGCATAAATTAATATAATTATAACTTTCAAATTTCATAGCTTTTATTCAAGAAAATGCTTAATATCTCATATATGTGGATACTTGAGTTCCATTTAAGAGAAGTTACAATATTCAATGGATTGAAAATAATATACACTTCAAACTTTGATTTAAATATCAATCATCCCCTAAACTTTGCATAATAGACATTCTCTAACCACCACCTCACCCTTATTTCATGTCATCTCTATTTTACCCTCAACATTTCAATAATTCATTTATGTAATATTTTTCATATACAAAATCAAAGGTTACTCATTTATGATTGTTATTTTAATATAATATTGCATGCATTAAATATATGTTCTATCGTTGTGGTAGTCCTCAAAATTTATATAATTAGATGGAATTTGTCGGGATGAGATTAGATGAAAATATCCGATTATAATAATTTTTAGCAAAAAATAATATGTTATAGGGTTTGAGAGTCATTTGTGATTCTTTAGTTGAGGTTTGATTGTTTTGATCCTAGATTATATTAGTGGGAGGGGTTAGTGAGCGATAAAAACTTTCGAAATGAAAGTTAGATTAATAGAACTCACTATAGCAACTTTTGATGTGGGATATGCTTGTATCATCTAAGAAATCTTAAGTGCATTGTGAAATGGGGTGTATGGAAGAACTTTAGAAAAATCATTACTAAACTTCATCATAGTGAGACCCCATCGCTTTAGCAGAACGAATCGATACAGAAAATTGTTCTATCATAGAGGCCCTAGCCCTGCAAGGGACCACTATAGAGGTCAGTTGGCCCACCATAGTGAACATGACATAGAAGGAAAGCCTGTTGTAGAAAACTTCAACAGATTTTATATCCAACACACTTTTAGATGTCATTTTCTCTCCAATTCCCAAAGACTCGTTCCTAAGCTTGAGAGATGCAATTTTTAACCTTCTAGGGTTTTTTCTATCATCAAGGTAAGTTCATTACACCCTTCTAACATCATTTAATTTGTTAGAACATACTTGGATTTATGTATATATACTTTTGAGCAAATTTCTTATTATTGATTGGTCTTTATACATGCTTGCTAGTGATGATATATATGTATGTATGTATCGAAGGTTGGGCGATATGATATATGAACGAAGCTGGTCCCTGCATATCATGGCTATTGACATAAATAAATCCCTTAACATTTATGTATACTTTGTTTATTTTTGTGTAGGTTAATGGTTCATTGAGCATGGTATTGTTGAATGACTTATTATTGATAACCTTGTGATGATTATATTTAATAATTGTGAATTTTTTATTTGTTCAAGTCTAATCTACTTGTTATTTGGTTTATGTGTTATTTTTAAAAAAAAATTTGAGTCAATCTATGATGCCTACCAGTAACTAGTAATACTAACATCTACCCTTCTTTTGTTGAGTGCAAATCTTATTCATGGGGTTCCTCCAAAACCCCATATCTAGCGTAGACTGCATTTTTTTATCACAGGGTGGTGTTCAGGCTACCAAGGATCATCTTACAATTCATGTCCATGTTTCATACACGGGGACATTCAATCTTAATTTTTAGTTGTTAGACATTTTAGTGGAATTAACTTAGTTAGCAGTTCTTTACCGATGACTTTCAGTTCTTGGAGAGTTGTTAAATAAGATTTTAACTTATTTATGAAGTTTATTTATTTATAAAACTTTGTTAGACATAATATTGTTGATTTGATGGATTGATTTTAATTTGCTAAGTTTAAGTCTTAAGGGTTTCTCCAGTGGAGGGTTAGTGAGTGACACACTCACGACCCCAATGTGCATGCATGCTAGTGTGTATATGTATGTTTCACATTTTTCTTATTATCTATTGTCTATATAGATAAATAATTTTTATTGGCATTAATGAAATATTTTTCTAAATTATAATTTCAAATTCATTATTGTATAATAGATAATTTTTTAGAAATTTATCATAAAAATATACCGCTATTTTAATTAATTCGTTTTTGTGTTACCAACTTTGAAATATATTTATAAAGTTATGACTTAGTTTTATTTTCTTATTTTTGTGTAATAAACATTAAAGTTTTGATTATTATAAAAAAAAATCCTCGCTATGCTCATTTATTTTATTATAGAATATCATTAACTCTATACTCAATTAGTATTTCTTATTGATGAGTTAACTGTAGTATACCTGCAAATGACTTGCCACATGTATTCTAGTCAATTCAGGAGTATCCATGAGGTCAAGAATTTTCCTTGGATGAGCTTCTGCAGAAAAAAAAAATATATCAACCAAATCTAAGGTAGTTTACATATAGATAACTAATTTTATGTGATCTCATATTTTTCAATATATAATGTTTGAGAAGACTTACTCTTCATGCCAAGTTTTGAAACGACTTCCACGAATTTGTCATGAAGGGGATCTGTCCAAACAACTCTACTCTTCTTTGACGGTGGAGATGAACTCTGTTCGCTTTCAGTCTCTTCACATTTTCTCATGGACTTGTCCCTCTCACTGTTCGACGATGAAGATTCAATATGAATTACTTCATGGGGGATTCTTTCATTGGTATTGTCTTGATTCTGTTGATTAATAACATGTTTGCCTTTATGATTCTTTCCCACAGTAGCATAATTCCACAAATAATTAATATTGTTCTGTGATATGGGCTTCCCCATAAACAAAATAACTCCACTCTCAAGCCCTTTCATAATTGTACTTTCTTTTTCATCGGCTGATAAAACTGGTCACATTCAATAATACAAATTTAAGTCATAGAAAAAACTAAATAAAAGGGACGAGGTTATATGAAAATAGCAAAAGCAAGCCTTTATATTTGGGGTGGGGTTAATTTCTTTCCATCAATCATCAACAATGCTCTTAGGGTGAGTTATTTTATATATAAATATGTTATTGATCGAGAGTTATCAATACGAAACTATTTTTTCTCTTATAGTCATCTATTATACGACATAATTTCAATTCCAAGAAGAATATAAAGAAGTATAAACTCACAAGCAACAGGAATGATAAATTCTTTGGCTATTTCTTGTTGAAGTTGAAAGCCATTCATTTTGGGCATGTGGACTTCTGTGACCACAAGATCAAATGAGAGGCCACTGCCACGAAGAACACCCAAAGCATCTTTTGCGCTCTTCACTGTCACAACTGAATTAAACCAAGAAATTATATTATTGTAAAACATATAAAAAGCTAAAATTATTGATAATACATATAGAAAATTTTCCAAAATCAGTTGATGAGAAAAAGAAGAAATTAAAAGAAACTTATTAGATGAATTGATGACTAGGTTTGACTTAAATAAATCTCGATCGACATAAATCTCAAATCAAAATATGATAACATGAAAATAATAAAAAATATACTTTATTTTAAGATGATATAAGTGTCATCACAATATTAGATTTTAAACACTCATAAAATTTAGTAAAATGAAAAACTAAAGTTAAGTACCTTCAAATTTGGATTTCTTGAGAAAAGTAGCAGTAATGAGAAGACAAGTGACATCAACATCTACCACCAGACATCTGATTATTTCAAAGAGTTGATTCTTTTGTTCCTCCATTATTTCTTCTGGAAATTTTTTTTGATAACACTGATTTGTTTTAGATGTTTTTTTGTTGAAAGAAAACACAAACTTAAACAGATAAGAACAAAAATGAAGAGAACATTTTCTAATTATTATTTATACAAATATTTGAGTCTATCTTGTTACACCAAAAGTCTATATTAGATTTGCTTACCAAGTTTTACCACTTCCTTTTAGTAGCTTATTTATTTTCTTCACATTTTTATTTATTTATTTATTTTACCTTCTTTTTTTTTCCTAAATAAACAACATCACAGTAAGAAGCTACACCAACTTACCATAAATTTGTATATATCCACCGTCTAATCCATGATATATAATTAATATTCCACATATGTACTTCTAATTTTTTTTGAATTCTCACGGTCAAAGCTATATATTATCTTATCATATATATATATTTCTTTTAGAAGAAAAAAATATCTTCTTAGTTTTTTCTTCACCTGCACAATATCTATCTTCAAGAATTTAATTATTTAATATTCCATATATGTACTTCTAAATTTTTTAAATTCTCACGTTCAAAGCTATATGTTATCTTATCCATAAATATATTTCTTTAAAAATATCTTCATACTTTTTTTCTTGCACCTGCACAATATCTATCTTCAAGAATTTAATTATTTTTGAATTGATAACTAACGGCCTATCGTTTTCAATTTATTTATGAGTTATTATTATGAAATGGAAAAAAGAAAAGTTCAGAAATTATTTTAAAAAAAGTTCACTGCTGATATAGGGAAAAGATGTTATCGTATAAATTAAAAAATTGTTAAAGGAAGGAAATAGTTATTTTAGAAGAAGGAATTAATTGTCTTAAATTTAAACAAATCAAATAGTTAAGTAGTGATGAGAAAAATCTCAAAAATTAATTAAATATACTATTAAGTAAAATTCTGTAATATTATAGAGCAATAACACTCTATTAAAAGAGCTCCAATATTATACTACATCACAACAATTTGGACATCTTTTCCCTCATTGATCACTTGTCAAAATTGTCTTAAAAATTGCCAACTCAAATAAATAAAAGATGCAAGAATCCTGAATTGCAAATCTACCTGCACAAACATAATTATCTTTCCTCTCATGTGAGTAAAAAATATTCACAATATATAAGTATCAATCTTCTTTATGATATTTAATATGTATATATATATATATATATAAGAAAATATATTATTATCTTTATTGTCATTGATGCACCAATTCAGAAAGTATACACTCTTAATTGAAAAGAGAAGCATGTTTATTAGTAACCATGTGAAAATAAATACAAATCACAAGTGCTCCTAGGACTTCTTAATTCTATATCCACTTCAAGCAAGGAGAATTTTTCAATGAAAAGATGTCAGCATAAGAAATAAAGCACAAACGATATAAAATACTTCTTATATCACTAAATAAAATACCTTCTACGGGTTTTTTTTCAAACTTCATAGACAAATGCAAATGTTGATGTTCAAAATTTAGTGTCACACCCCGAGCCTATACCCTAGATGTGACCGGCAATCGAGATCTATTATTGGTCCCCAAGCGAACTCTTGGTCTGGCTAACTAGACCAAAGCAGATATAAGCTTTAAAAACAGAAGTAAATCATTGTCTCAAAAATAATCAGCTCAGATAATTTAAAAGCAATAATAATTTAAAGAAAATATTGAAAGAATCATCAACGTTCTCTATCTATGAAGCCTCTATAGTTCAACATGGATGTCGAGACATGATCTACGACACCTCAAAACAATTAAACAGAAAGATGAATAAAATGGGGTCCCCCAAAATGCCAGGACGGGGTCACCAAAAGCGGTCAAGGAATACAAAGTGATCTAGACGAAGTGTCTGTTGATGATCCTGAGTACATGTAATTTTAAGATGCAGGTCGAATGACATTAGTGCATTATATGTACGAGTATGTAATATACCCGAAGCGAAATAATTGAATAGAATGAGGGTGACTGTAACACCTTGGAAATTGGAAATTAAAATTGGATCAAAAAGAAAAAATTCAATTTTGGGCACTGATAGTGTGACCTACGAGTCTCATCTACGAACCATAGGAGGTTCTATGGGACATAGAAGTTGAGTCATAGAACTTAAGTTGAGTTTTGGAAAAACAATTAAGTTTCTGATGTTTGACCTAATTGAACAAGACAAATCATAGAAAGTTTGACAGGTCATAGGACTGACCCGTAGAATGATTAAGAGTAATTGGTTTAAGACCTCGGTCTACTAGAAGGGTTTGACGGGTCGTATATGGTTCTATGGGACGTAGGAGGGCTTCGTAGGAGGGTGTTATAACACTTCAGAAGTTGAAAAGTCGAAAAGGAAAGAAAAATGCAGAAATTTGATTGAAGCAAGTTTCTACAAGTCCAACCTATGGACCATAGAAAGGAAGTCGTAGACCGAGAGTTGAGTTTTAAAAAATTAAGTTTCTGACGATTGGACCTACGACTTGACAGGACGAACCGTAGAAAGTTTTACGGGTAGTAGGACTAACTCGTAAGATTGATTCCGAAATTTGATTTAGGCCCTCAGATCTATGGATAATTTTGACGATTCGTAGTTGGTTCAACTAACCGTAGGAAGATTTTGTAGAAAGGTTCCAGACCTAGTGAAATTTTAGAGTGAAAGTTGAGTTCTACGGATAGGGTCTACACACCATAAGAATTTTGACAGACCGTAGAATGGTCTCGTGGGAAATGATTGAATATTTTGGTTTTTGAAGTTGGTTCTACGGTTGACCAGGACGGCCATTGAAATTCCTATGGACTGTAGGTCTGTCCGACAGTTACTTTTAAAGTGTATTTGGGTCCTTTCCTATGCACTTAATGCTTATACTACGCTGTTTTGACCCTAATTCTAAGTCCTATAACTACCCTTCACCCTTAGAAATTTCCCAACTCCCTCATTAAATCAAATTCCAAAATTCTCTCTAAGGTTCTCTCCAAACTTTTCTCTCTAGACAAGGAAGAAGAAAATAGGGTTCTTCAAGGTCGAGTCTCCCTTTTCATCATTGATTCTAGGGATTCAAGGTCAAGGTATGTAGGAAGTTCATCAATGGGTTCCATTTACCTATTGAGTCCCTAAAGACTCTTCAATTCTCTAATTTAATGCCAACAAAATTGATTAAGGTTTTCATTGAATTATCATGGGTTCTATTTATGTTGATTAAATTTATTGAATTTGATCTTATTATGATTGCTTTGACTCAATTACATGCTTTTCAATTGAAATCACATGAACTCATGCATTCAGTGGCGAATTTATGTATAAAATTTGGGTCATCCGAACCCGTGGTCCTTCGACTAAACTCGATATATTACTTGTATAATTATTAAAGAACATATTAAATAAACACTTGTTGAACCCGTTCTTAAAGTTGCTAGATGGTTCACTGGTTTGACAGCCATATTTTAACACCAAAGTCCTGAGTTCAATCCCAGCCAGCCACAATTCACTTCAATTTTTTTTAGTAACTAGTAACACTCGTTTTTTAAAAAAAAAATGAAATTCTAAAAGCAATTGTGCACCCGTTTTCTTGAAATCCTGGATTCGCCTCTGCATGCATTGATCATGATTTTGACTATGAACCCTAATTTGCATGAATTTGAAGAAAAGCAATGAATCAATGAATGATGTTTCATAAACTTATGCATGATTTATGAAAAGGAATAAATTATGATCTAGGTTGATTTAATATAAACATCGATGAAATTGTGAAAGGTTTTCTCACATATGCATGAATTGTGAAAGATTTTCTCACATACTTAAGAAATCATGAATGGTGAAAGATTTTCTCACACATGGTTTAAGGAGCTACTCTACGATGTTATTAGCTTGGATTAGTAACATAATTGTATTTTTCCATGAATGATTATATGCTTATATTTATGACTGTTCTGTTGCGATTTTTACTTAGCACCGAAAAGATATTGAGATGGAGGCTCTCCCGTTAGTAGAGGTCGGGTCTCTACTATCAATCTTCTTGTCCCTAACTACTCCTCACCCCCAAAGGTTTTCTTAAGTGACATAGCTAGTGGATCCACCTAAGCTATAAATTCCAGGTTGTTGTCTTGGCAAGCAATGTCATCTCTTTTTGGTGTGGGAGCAAGACACCGGATTTCATGTTGTAGCACACATGGTCTATGTTGGTGAATAGTAAATATCCCACAAAATGAACTAAGTAACTTTCAAGATTTTATGAAGTTTTCCTCATAATTGTTAGATGCATTGACCATGTTCATGATTATGATTCTTCTTTAAAGATTTACTATATTTAGCTTGGTCATACTTATCATGTTATCGTTTATGTCCTATTATGGTCATGTCACATGTTTTTATTGCATTCCCCTCATACTTAAAACAATCCATGTACTAATGCATACTTGTGCCTATTTTATTTCACTAATGTGGGGCTTGACGATTCATCTCCCTTCTTTCATGGCTAGTTGATCTCATTGACGATCAAGAGTTGGTTTTGTGTCCTCATGTTTCGAGGACCATGATACTTTTGTTAGTTTCCTTATGTTTCAATTTCCAGACTTTGTATATGGTGTACGCGTTACGTTCCGACCACTCTTTTGATGTAATAGATGGCTTTTCAAGACTTTAATGTACTTCTGCTTTTTTGTCAAACTCTTTACATTCTTATGAGATTTCTTGATTTTCTCTATTATGTCGTGTATATGTATGTCAAGTTGCTAGTGTAGGGCCTTTTGGGATCTTATATGTCATGTCACATCTAGGATGTACTTTGGGTCGTGATAAACTTGGTATTCAGAGCACAATGGTTTAGAAAAAGGTCCTAGGAAGTCTGACAAGTTGCTTCATGAATGTGAAGCGCACCACATTTATAAATAGAAGGTTACAAAGTGTTTACAAAACTCCGCTTCTTTCATTACTCTAAAGTCGTGTCATAGAGTCTATCTCTATAAAGAATCAAATCATAAATTGGATTTGATCCTTTTCAGGATAT